TATTTTTAGTAGAGACAGGGTTTCACCATGTTGGTCAGGCCGGTCTCAAACTCCTGACCTTGTGATCCGCCCACCTTTGTCTCCCAAAGTCCTGGGATTACAGGCATGAGCCACAGAGCCTGGCCCATCTCTTCTTTTTTAGAAAGAGGGTCTCGCTCTCATCCAGGCTGGAGTGCAGTGGTACGATCACAGCTCCCTGCAGCCTCAACCTCCTGGCCTCAATTTATCTTCCTGCCTCAGCCTCCTGAGTACTGGGATTATAGACACATGCCACCACACCTGGTGTTATGATCCATTTGGATCTATTAGTTATTATGATCATTGCCAATTCTACCAAAATTGATTTGCACACTCAGGGCAATCCCAATTAAAATCTCAGCAGCTCTTTTGTAAACACTGCCAAGCTGCTACTAACATCTGTATGAAAATATAAAGGATCTAGAATAGCCAAAACAATTTTGGAAGAGAAGAACAAAGTTGAAGGTTGAAAGCTTCAACAAAGCTGAAGTACATTGATTTCAAGATTTATACAAAAATCAAGAATGCAGTATTAGCTTAAGGATAGAAAAACAACCCATTGAACTAGAATGAAGAGTCCAGAAACAGGCCCATACATATATGATCATTGATTTTCTTTTTTCTTATTATTTTCTTCTTGAGACAGGGTCTACGCTCTGTCGCCTAAGCTGAAATGGAGTGGAGCAATCTCAGCTCACTGCAGCCTCCACCTTCTGGGCTCAGGCAATCCTTCCATCTCAGCCTCTCAAGCAACTATGACTACAGACACATCCTGCTATAAAATTATCATTATAAATTATATTTATATACTCATCATTATAAATTATAATATAAATTTGTATTATAAATTAGCCACACCTGGCTAATTTTTTAAAAATCTTTTATAGAGACGTGGTCTCATTATGTTGCCCAGGCTAGTCTTGAACTCCTGGGCTCAACAGATCCTCCCTCTTGGCCTCCCAAAGTGCTAGGATTACAGGTGTAAGCCACTGTGACTGGGCCGATTTTCAACAAAGGCATCAACAAGATAATTCAATGGGGAAAGGATAGTCTTTTCAACAAATAGTGCTGGAACAAATGAAGATGTACATGGGGAAAACAATGAAACTCAACCCCTTACATCACACCGTAAGCAAAAATGAACTAAATCAATCAAAGATCTAACATAAAAGATTGTTCTCACTCTTTTTTAGGGGGAAGGGCAGAGTTTTGCTTCTGTTGCCCGGGCTGGAGTGCAATGGCATGATCTCAGCTCACTGCAACCTCTGCCTCCTGGGTTCAAGTGATTCTCCTGCCTCAGCCTCCCAAGTAGCTGGGATTATAGATGCATGCCACCACGCCCAGCTAATTTTTGCATTTTTAGTAGAGACAGCGTTTCACCATGTTGGCCAGGCTGTTCTAGAACTTCTGACCTCAGGTGATCCACCTGCCTCGGCCTCCCCAAGTGCTGGGATTACAGGCATGGGCCACTGCACCCAGCCTCTCACTCCTTTTTTTTGAGACAGAGTTTCACTCTTGTTGCCCAGGCTGGAGTGCAATGGTACGATCTTGGTTCACCTCAACCTCTACCTCCCAAATTCAAGCAATTCTCCTGCCGCAGCCTCCCAGGTAGCTGGGATTACAGGTGTATGCCACCACATCCACATAATTTTTGTATTTTTAGTAGAGACAGGGTTTCTCTGTGTTGGTCAGGCTGGTCTCGAACTCCCAACCTCAGGTGATCTGCCCACCTCGGCCTCCCAAAGTGCAGGGATTCCAGTTGTGAGCCACCACGCCCAGCTGTTCTCTCTTAAATGTACTTTTCCCTCTCATCCATCACTCTTTCCCCAGTACTCCATTAAAGCAACAATGGAGAATCAGAAATTTTGCCCCTGACTTTCAACCTTATGGATTTATTTTCCCCTTGAAATTCATTGAACAAATAAGAACTGAAGAGAGGTCAAGAAATCTTCCCTGTGGGAACAAGCTGCCCAGCTTCCCAAAGAACCTCACAAAAATTCTCTATCCTTACCTTGCCCTTCCGGAGGCGTCGCACTGTATCACTGGGGCTCCAATCATTGCTGTAATCCTGGAATATTAGCAAGACATGAATCCCAGGAAGTTAAGGAATCAAATTCATCAGTGTACCAACTCCTCAACTCAAACTCACAGTCTCAGTCTCTAAGGGGGAAATACTTTGCAGGAAGGGATGGATGTGAAAAAAATGAAGAAATGGGATGGTCTTGTTTTGAGTTTCTGAAGGAACTAGCGCAGGAGCGATACAGACAGGAGGAGATGGATCAAAGAGGGATGAGCCAATTGACAAAGCCAGGAGCCCTATGCCTACTGGTTCAGGACTGCAATCTCTAGTTGCAATTAGAATCACGTTTTAGGATTCTAACAAAGCCTTTGGCCAACAGAAGGAAAGAGAGAGACATTGGAGACATGTTCCTTTTCTGAACTTATGTTTCTTCCTTATGAATCAATTTGCTCTTTTATATGCCTCATGGGATTATGAGCTCCGCCAAGCTTCCAGACTGATGGTCACTGGGTTTCAAAGGACAGCCTTCAGTGGCAGCATAATGAGTAAGCAAAGTATGGTAGGACTGAGTCAGAAGATAGAGACTGTAAGTCTAAGTTTCACCCTTTCCTAGCTGTGAGACCCCAGGCAAGCCCTAATGTTTAGAAATCCAGTTTTCTTATCGATAAAAGGAGGTTAAAAAAGTATCTGCTCAAAGAGTTGGGAAAATCAAGCAAGGTAACATACATCAAGATACTGTGGAAAGTGTCACACCAGCGTACACTGTTAACTCACCCTATACTCCCCTTTGGGTCTCCCCAGCTCTGGAGCATAGCTTTTGGCAGGTGTGTCTGACAGAGCTGAAAAAAAACAGGTAGCTGGTTCAGAAGGGCACCATGAATCCTGCTTGTCACCACTTCTCTCTACTGCTTCTGCCTCACATTTTTTTGACTTGTGGGCTCCCAACATTAACTTTATGGCCAAAAGTAGATCTCCATTCTTCCCCAAAGACAGCAACCCTAGAAGTCACCTTTGCCCCTGTAGCCAGAATGATTTCTACCTCCTTGGTCAGTATCAGAAAATTCCTCTAATAATGACAGTAGATGCAGAAGAAAGTCCATCTTGTCATCCAATTACTACCTGTCCCCATACCTCCCCAGAAATGTTACCAGATCAGTAACATTTCCCACAGCAATTAAAAGAGGGTTCAATGCCTACCATCAGAAAGGGACTGGAAACTTCCCGGTCTAGTTCTACCTAAAGGTAAAGAACACAAGAGGGAAAAGGTCAACAGTTTAAGTCAGGGCCATCCAGGCTTGGTTAAAGACACAATGTGTATAGAACTCTATAATGCAATATAGAAACTTAAGGCTTAAAGTTTTATTCAGCTGTAGAAATCTGAAGTGCCATTAAAAAATGGAGCAGGGAGAAATTTTTTTTAATTACAGTAAAATATACATAACAAAATGTACCATTTTAACCTTTTTTTTTTTTGAGTCGGAGTTTCGCTCTTGTTACCCAGGCTGGAGTGCAATGGCGCGATCTCGGCTCACCGCAACCT